ATCTAAAGTGCTAAATTTTGAGTCGCCATATTTTCGTCTTTATCACCAAAATCCTAACTATAGTGATTTTCATACATTTGGTTGTGTTTGTTTTGTGCATTTGCCTCCTTCGCAGCGCAATAAACTTTCTGTACAGTCTACTAAATGTGCTTTTATGGGTTATAGTACTTCACAAAAAGGTTTTATTTGCTATGATCCATTTTCTCACAAATTTTCGTATTTCTAGAAATGTTGTTTTCTTTGAGAATCAATATTTCTTTCCTACGATTGTAGATCCATCTTATGTTTCTCCTCTTCTTCCTACTTTTGAGGATTTATCATCTTCTTTCAAGTGGTTCAAACCTGGATTTGTGTATGAACGACGGCGGCCAACTTTATCCTATCCCAAAACCGATCCGCCACCTGAAACTGTACCACAACTAGAATCTGAGAATTCTTCAAGATCTGGTCCTCTTGAGCCTACTCGGCGATCTACCAGAGTTTCTTGTACTCCCAATTGGTATGGCTTTTCCTCTACTTTATCCAACATATCTGTTCCATCTTGTTACTCACAAGCTTCCAAGCATGAATGTTGGCAGAAAGCAATGGAGGAAGAACTTTTGGCTCTTAAAGAAAATGACACATGGGACATTGTTTCATGTCCTTCAAATGTCCGCCCTATTGGATGTAAATGGATTTATTCAATCAAACTTCATTCTGATGGATCTCTTAATCGGTACAAAGCTCGATTGGTTGTTCTTGGTAACAGACAAGAGTATGAGGTGAACTATGAGGAGACTTTTGCACCCGTAGCCAAAATGACTACGGTACGAACTATTATTGCCATTGCTGCTTCACAAAACTGGTCTTTGTATCAAATGGATGCCAAAAATGCTTTTCTTCATGGTGATCTTAAAGAAGATATTTATATGAAACCTCCACCTGGTTTGTTCTCATCGCCTACATCAGATGTATGCAAGTTGAAGCGGTCTTTGTATGGATTAAAACAAGCTCCAAGAGCTTGGTTTGATAAATTCCGGTCTACTTTGCTACAATTTTCTTTTGAACAGAGCAAATATGACTCATCTTTGTTTCTTCGGAAAACATCTACAGGTTGTGTTCTTCTTTTGGTGTATGTAGATGACATTATTATCACAGGAACTATTCTTCACTAATCACTAGCCTCCAACAACAGCTTAAAGATTCTTTTCATATGAAAGATCTTGGTACTCTTACTTATTTTTTGGGTTTGGAAATTCATAATGTTGCTTCAGGTGTATTTCTAAACCAACACAAATATACTCAGGATCTGATTTCTTTGGCTGGTCTTCAAGATTCATCCTCCGTAGATACTCCATTGGAATTGAATGTGAAGTATCGTCGTGAGGAAGCGCATCATTCGGTATCTTCTAGGAACATTTACTCGTGGATTGTTCTTTCCAAGTGGTTCTCCTATTCGTCTTAATGCTTTTAGTGATTCTGATTGGGCGGGATGTCTTGATACTCGTCGTTCGGTCTCTGGTTGGTGCATGTTTCTTGGAGAGTCATTGATATCTTGGAAGAGTAAAAAGCAAGATCGTGTGTCAAAATCATCAACAGAGGCTAAATATCGATCTATGTCTACTGCTTGCTCTGAGGTTGTATGGCTTTGTGGATTACTTGCTGAGATTGGATTTCCTCAATCTCATCCTACTCCTCTCCACGCTGACAATACAAGTGCTATTCAGATTGCTACTAATCCAGTTTTTCATGAGAGGACCAAACACATCGAAGTGGATTGCCATTATATAAGAGAAGCTGTAGATAAAAGAGTCATTACTCTTCCACATGTGTCCAGCGATCTTCAAATAGCTGATGCGTTTACAAAATCCATGGCACGGCAACGCCATCGGTTTCTAGTAGGCAAATTGATGCCTCTTGATCCACCAGCATCAATTTGAGGGGGGATGTTAGCATGAGGGAAAACTAAATGATTATATATTAATGTAATTATATAGTGATATAAATTAGCATGATCATATACATTTGTTGTAGAATCATATGAATAAATATTGTGATAGAATAGCTGATTTGGAGGGATAGCAAGGCAGATTTAGAGGGATTGAATAACAGATTTGTAGAGATAGAATAGTTGATCTTTAGGGATAGGAATGATGAATCTTTAGGGATGTGTAATCTTTATTTTCTCTATATAATGGAAAGACTCTCACTTTGAGAGGCATTCAGCGCTGACAATACAAGTGCTATTCAGATTGCTACTAATCCAGTTTTTCATGAGAGGGCCAAACACATCGAAGTGGATTGCCATTATATAAGAGAAGCTGTAGATAAATGAGTCATTACTCTTCCACATGTGTCCAGCGATCTTCAAATAGCTGATGCGTTTACAAAATCCATGGCACGGCAACGCCATCGGTTTCTAGTAGGCAAATTGATGCCTCTTGATCCACCAGCATCAATTTGAGGGGGGATGTTAGCATGATGGACAACTAAATGATTGTATATATTAATGTAATTATATAGTGATACAAATTAGCATGACCATATACATTTGTTGTAGAATCAAAGGAATAAATATTGTGATAGAATAGCTGATTTGGAGGGATAGCAAGGTAGATTTAGAGGGATTGAATAGCAGATTTGTAGAGATAGAATAGCTGATCTTTAGGGATAGGAATGGCGGATCTTTAGGGATGTGTAATCTTTATTTTCTCTATATAAAGGAAAGACTCTCACTTTGAGAGACATTCAGCAGAGAATTGACACTAGTAACTAGGAGTTACTGAATATTTGTTATGACTTATGAGAACTGTACAAAGGAAATGCTAACATTTGTCTCTGTATTCATTTGGATCTTAGCAGATTGAATATGACTTCTTCATCGTCCGATAATGAGGAGGACTCCATAACGTGGGATACAGTAGTTAGTTTTTTCGCCTTTATTTTTGCTATATCTTGTAACATTATGAATTGGTGATCATTTGCAGTATTGAGTTTATTCAAGTCAATGTATTGCTCTTTCTTGTCATACTCAGAAAGGAATTCCTAAAGAGGATGAAAAAGATTATGTACCTGAGCCTCATGTACACATTGTGTCAAATAAAAAAAATCAAGAAAACAGTTCATCCTATGTAGAAGCCAGGTCGAAAGTCAAGCAAATTAATACAAACCAAAAGCAATCTCTCAAGGCCTTCCCTAAAGTGGAGTCCCCTAAAACTCCTTATTCACAAGAGCCTTCACCACAAAGATCATATACCCCTTCGAGAAAGGACAGTTTGTTTCAAACCCCTACATACATGATTTTTTCCTATCTGGTTTCGAGACATTTATGATAGTTGCTTACACATGCAGGTGCAACATGAAACTGTGGGGAAAATAAATGCTCCAAGGTGGAGCCTTAGTTAATCATTAGAAAAAAGGTATGTCTGTATAAGTCACTTTCTAGTTTCTAACATAGGAGGTGATCAAATTTTCCTAAATCTCTTCGAACATAACAGCTCTCTGGATAATAGTGATGAAGGAAGTCTCAGCTGCATTTCTCTCCCATTGTCAGATAATTAAGTCGACTGCTCCATCAAGGCTACCAAAAGATTTTGTCTGTCCAATAACTGGACAGATATTCAATGATCCCGTCACCCTTGAAACCGGTCAAATATATGAAGGGAAAGCCATCCAGGAATGGATAAAAAGATGTAATACAACATGCCCCATTACAAGGTAGTCTTTATCTGCAGCTACTCTTCCTAAAATCATTTATGTCCTGAAGAGACTGATAACCTCTTGGAGGGAACAACACCCTTGATCTAGCTCATGAGTTTTCCTACTCTCAAACACCGCGAAGTTATTTAAACATTCCGTCTTCAAGAGAGAGATCATCTGAGTCTACTCCATCTCTGACATTTAATCATCCCAATCATAGGAGGATAGAGGAAATAGTGGATCAAAGATCACAAAGATTTATGTGAGCAGTTGTATCAATGTCGTCACCTACTAGAGTAATTTCTCAATGCAATTATCAATAACTTAAAACCTTATAATTGCACTAGGTGAATTTCAAATTCTAAATACACTAATTATTTATATGTATTGATACTTCATGCTCTATGTAACAAACTTAATATAAAGTGGCTGAAAAAAATTTCACATACATAATTTTAGTTACATCAACGAAGTCATTTGTTAAAAATTTGATCCACAACAATAAATATCTATAAAGACCAAAATCATATGAGATTCAGTATATTTTTCATGTCGTCCTTTAATGCAAACATGCATTTTATTTTGTAAATTTAAATTCTCGACAAGATTTAAATTATCGTAGTCTAAACTATTTCTTTTTTCATATGCATTCAAATGATTTAGATAATAGAACAAAGAGTAAGGAAAAATCGAGGTTGAGTTTCCAAAATTTAGACAAAAAGAGAAGATAATTTTGGTGGAGAAGGTCTAAAACAAATCTTAATCATTTGTATGACTATAAATTATTTCATTAATGACAAAAGGAGAATTACAAACTAAAATTGTTTCTAATTAATATGAAAAAGTAACATTCATTTGTTCCTTTGCCCCTCTCACTATCATGCTTGAATTCACGATTCTTAATTTTGGTTGAGGGTACTTGCTACTTATCTAAATTTAAAATCTTTCTTGTCCGAATAGATCAACAAAGGAATTAAATTCAGACCTTCCTGGTGTGTCTAGTGCATAATTAGCGATTATTTTCTTCTTGGTAAACATATTGTATTTGAACTTTGCAATAGTTGTACATTTGTAATTTCGTTGTAATTACACTATGACAAATAAATAGATCAGTGTAACTACTAGGTTGTGTAATTACTATCCACACCAATTTCAATTAACATGTGACTTTCCAAAAAGATCCTTAATATATTTGAAGGGTAATATCGTAATATTATTGTGTGCCAAGTAATGGACAACTATTGGATAGATGAAGTAATTATAATATTTAATCTTATTTATCGTTTAACTATACATATAAAACGACATTCATTCATCAAAGCCCTATAATTCATTTTGTTGTCAGGCAACGCGGGATTGCTTGTGTTCCTCTGTTTATAGTCTATCGACCCCTGTGCACCGCCGGAGACCAACAACGAACAACGACGACGGATGCCGATGAACGACGACAGAGTGAAGGTTCTATTGCTTCTCTTTTTCATTTTGATCCTGTTCATCTCCTGCTCATCTAGTAAAATCTCTTTATAACTAATATTTCTCTCATAGAAACTTAAGCTCAAGCTCTGAGAAACACTCAATTATACTAATAGACACACCGAAAATGATGTCATGCATGTATTCTGAGATATTTCTCCTTTGAATTTGAGTGTTTTTAGTGCCTTTCTTAAGGCATTACATAAATGTAGTACAATTAAGAAAATTAAAGGCTCAAGTAGTGTTGTTCTTTCTCCAGATTTTTAATAGCAATTGTTGATTTTGGCAAATAGCATAGTTTTGTGTTTTATTGTTTCCACACCCATAGTTTTGATGAAGATGTGATATCTCGGAAGTTGGTCAACAAATCTAAATTCAGACTTGAATTTTTAAGAAAATTGAAACAAAATTTATTATTCAGAAAGTAGGCGTGAAAGTACCATTAGTGTAAAAAACAACAACTACATTCAATTGCATCACCTATATGAATTACGTAGGAAAAGAGCAAGATATCTATGATAAGGAAGAAAAACTGACTCAGATATAAAGCTAAATGCATTTGGGAGGACAGTTGTACTTTCCTGATTCTCCTAGTCATGGGATCTGAGTATGTGAGGTCGTCGTATATATCCTATTAAGCTATTTATGTTTTCTGGGTAGTGCCAGCATAAGATTGACTGGGAGTTCAAAGATTTTGCATTAAAAGTTATGATCAATTTATACTCGAGGGCTCTTTAATTGGATCTTTCAGATTACTTTTTGTTCCTACCTCAACTATTTCCTTCTTATTCTTTTAATTTTTCAATTATACTGGTTGGACTTGGTCTAGACAAATTATTATTATTATTTTTTGGGGGGTGGGGGGCAGGGGTTGTCTTTAGTTGAGTTGTTGCTGTGGATGGTATAAGGCAGGACTTGCTGGTCGAATGTTGGTCTGTCAGAATGAAGTCACTCGAAAGATTATTCCGTAAAACCTCAGGGTCCTGGCACTACTTTCTTTTTCTTTTATATTTTCTGTACTGTTTGAAACAGTTGCGATCGCAATGATGAGTAGTCATATTCTAAAATGATGCGTCTTTTAGACCCCCTTAGGCCCTTACTCTGTTAAATTTCATATCTACAACAGGACCTATTTTTCAAGACTTTAACTAATATATGCTTGACATCAAATATATAAACTAGTCAGCAAACTAAAATGAGTTTCTTTTCAGTTGCCTAACGTCTAGTCAAGTGGTCTGAATTCTTAAAAATGTGGAATTTTTATATCTACAGCCTTGGATTAGATTCTTCTTTTTCTATAGCATGTGTGCTCATCTGCATATCGACCTTTATCTAGAAGCTAACTCCAGTGGTCTTCAATTTTAAATGGAAAAAGAATAAAATATATATATGAAGGTTTGCTACAATTTACACTTAATAGTTACTTCACCACTTGGTGTGAAAGGAAACTCTGCAAGCTACTGATTTCTTTGGCAGATTTTCCTTGATAAGAAAATTTGATCGCAGTTTTTTGTTATTATTTTGTTTCAATTGTCAATTAATGATAATCCTGTAGTTGTGCATGATCCGCTGAGGTTCAATCAAGGTGGTCATGCTGATTCCTTTTCTTTTGCAAGGGACACAATGCAAAATGGAATTGCTGAGGTAGCTGTCTACAATTCCAAGGTTGTTAACATTATGCAAGAAGTTTGCACCAGTTGTATCATTTCATCTTGCTGGAAATGTAATCTGTAAATTAGTGCTTTCGGAAAAATTACTTATATACACAACATTATTTAACATATTTTCTATTATATCCCTTCCTTTTCAAAATATTACTAAAATCTCCTTTTTTACTCCCTTTAACCTAACTTCCGGATACATAACTCCCCATCTCCTAATTCATGTTTATCTCCCCTTTTTTCACTCCTTCAATCACTCCCTATTTCTCTTCCATAATCTTATCATTTCAATTTTGAATTTCAAGATGTTTCTCACTCCAATCAAACGATTTCATCCTTTTAGATTATTTTAATTTCCTTTTTTTAACTCATAGTTCATACTTTTTTTTTCTTCATTTAAATTTTGATACATTATGGATGATGCTCCTTCATTCAATATAGGGATTACCCAAATAATGTAATCTAACACTAATCGTGTTTAGGACAATGAGGATGTCGATTGGGCTGAAAATAGACTGAAAAAATTGCCTGATCCTCTAGCAATGGACAATGTGAGTATCGAGAATGTGAAGAAGGACGTGTCTTCTTCTTCAAAAGCGAAGGTTGAAAAAAACCCTAAAAAAAGGGGTAGAAAAGTATCATCTCCAATTTATCGGCCTAGTCTACCCAAGGTAATGAGTTTCGATCTATTTTTGTGTTTTATTTGCTATTCAATCTTCCATTTAGTTGTCTATTTAAATATATGATGCATAACTGAAAAACTAATGTTATCATATTACAATGTATAATTATTCAATTTATTTTTTGATACATAAAACACTAACATTGTCAAGTTGTTCTCAATGTATCAAGATATAAATACAAGATAATGTATTGTATTATGTATCAGTCCCAACATATCATAGACATGATACAAAAATATAATGTTGAGTTGTTCTCAATCTTTTCACTAAGTGATGCAAAAAAATTGTCACATATTGTTCTCAATGTATCAAGTTGTAAATATACTGTAGCAGGCTAAATATGTATCAATCCCAACTAATGACATATATTATGCTATAATCTGCTTATTTAAGTATCAAACCCAACTTATCATCTATATGATACAAAAATAACGTCATTGAAGTTGTCAAATATCAATTTATATTGAGTTTCCAAATTCAAATATATGATTTATACAGTTATTAAGGTCTAGTGTGTTTCATATACAAATATTAATATTATGTATCAGATACAAATATAATAGTCATTGTAAATTCAATTGTCCATTATTCAACATATATCATGTTTATATTATTTTATGTGTTTAACTGTTGTTCATTTGTCTCATTATAGTCTGTGAAATACAAGATAAAACAAATCCCTACCCACTCTTTGAGGTTTGGTTCGACCTACAACATGGATTTTGTAGAAGATTTGAATTTGTCCATAGGAGTTAAGGGTATTGAATTATTTAAGAATACAATTTTCGGTCCATATCTCAACATCCCTAACTGCAATTACCAAGGGCAAATAACAAAGTGTCTGCTACTACTTGAGCTGGAGCAGGATAACATAGATGAGCTCCATATTCGTCATGCAAGCGGGAATATTTTGCATTTCACTATCAAAGAATTTGCGATTATTACTGGCCTGAAATGCACAGGGAATGTTGATGAATTTAGATATCCTGATTCCACTCATAGCAGGTTGATTCAAAGATACTTTCCTGAGTCAAAAGATAGTGTAAACAAGGGTCGTTTAGTTCAAAGATTTCTGATGGGTGAATGGGAGAACAATCAGGATGCCGTTGAAATGGCAATCTTATATTTCATTCACACGTTTGTTTTTTCCCAACTTGGTGACACAAATATACCTATCCACCATTTCTTTATGGTTGAAGACGGAAGGTATCAAAAATATCCTTGGGGACAAATTGCATTCTCAAAATTGATGAAAACATTGAGACAAAAGTTCACCAAAGAAAAGAAGTTGTATCGATTAGCCGGGATGCCATATTCTCTTAATGTTTGGATATATGAATGTGCCTCTATAATCAGTGATGAAATTGTTGTCAAAGAGAGCAATTATATACCGAGGATATGCAACTGGCGAGTTGTGGGGGTTAAGCCAAAATTTGACATGTTTATGTCTAGCATCTTCACTCAGGTAATGTTTGTTTTGATCAAAATTTGACATGTTAATGTCTAGCATCTTCACTCAGGTAATGTTTGTTTTGACAGTGTACAGTGAACAATTTTCACTTCATATTATTGTATCATTTTTGTGATTAGTGATACATAATCCTGTTTATTATATTAATTTACATATGCAATCCAGAATGCTTGCAATGATATACATCCAACAACGGAGGAAATGTCAGCACTTGATTTGCCTGCTAATGTTAATACTTCTCCTTCTGAACCTCATACTTCAGCTGCCAAGTCCAAGCAGGTTCAACCACAAGACCTTCTCGAATTTGAGAACTTTTCTACTAATCATACGGATCAATTTTTAAGGAGATCAAGACGCATGTCTACTACATCATCTACACCCCCTCCAAAGAGGAGAAGGAATGCTCATTCAGCCAAACCAAAGGTTACTCAAGTTAACCAACCAGTACAATTGGTTGTGCAAACAAAACATAAAATTCCAATTCCAGATTCAGGTGGTAATTTATCTGATATTCATGGTCCTTCATTTGATCGTAAAGAATCTTCTGATAAATCAGGTATTAAACAAGTTAAGAAATACCTGAAGAAATACGTAAGTGATTGTAATAATTAGTTTTTAATATGTATATTTGTACAATAATTACATATTAACTTATTTTTATATATTTTCAGGTTGACAAAAAATTTCAGCATTTAGAGGATTTAATCAAATTAAACCACATCGAGTTGGTGAATGCTATTCGGAATCCAGATAAGCAAGAAGAAGAGGTAGTAGTTTATTTATCAAATACTTACCGTTAAAACAAATTTCTTTGTTTGATATGTATCTTTTTTTCTTCATGAAGAATATTGTTGGCACATCTATTCCAACTACCGTGTCAGGTTTTCAAGAAGGCCATTTTGCCCACCCACCTAGCACTGACCAGATGTTTGAACAACGGAGTTCATCGATTGCGATGGACTTTCCCAACAATGATCCAATTGAGGTAGATGTTGTGGAGGCTCAAGAACAAAATCATATTTCCGAACAGAAGGCTGTAGAAGTAAGTATATGATACGTATTTTTTTTATAGGTTATTCAATATTGATACATTAGTTCTTATAATGGATCAAATACACATTTATACCCCCCCCCCCCCCCCCCCCCCCCCCCCCCCCCCCCCCCCCCCCCCCCCCCCCCCCCCCCCCCCCCCCCCCCCCCCCCCCCCCCCCCCCCCCCCCCCCCCCCCCCCCCCCCCCCCCCCCCCCCCCCCCCCCCCCCCCCCCCCGATACATTGATGTATTCAATATTACATTTTATTCAGTTTATTTTAATGTATCAGTCTAATATCTTTTTTTTTTTGGTAAATTGTATTAGTCTAATATCAATTTTTTAAAATATGCAGTTTATATTGATACAATATTCAGTCTAATATCATTGATACATTAATTAATTACTGATAATTTCATATTACAAACATAGGATGTTGATACATGCAAGGATAAAGAAGGCATGAATGATGTATCAGATCTTCCACACACGACAGATGTTCATGATAAAGCAAGTGTATCTAAGAAAGATAATGTAAGTTCAAATTTATATATATGATACATTAATTTATCAATGTATTGTTATACCTCATCCCTTTTTAGGAATATGAAGCAATTGGAGGCTCCAAAATATCTCAACAAGAAAATTTGGATGAAGTACAACATAATGTCATTAAATCAGATGCAGTTGTAGGACCGAATGATAAATCGGTAAATATTACAATAATTTATCGCATTTTATAATTGTTTGTTCATTCATCTAATTTATATTATACTTGTTTCAAATCATATAGGATTCTACAACTTCGAATTCAATATCATCTGATACTCAAGAAGCAGTAAATGCACTCCTTTATGGCCTTCGCGCTCCTATGAATGCTCAACCTCTACAAATTGTCATTCCCCAACAGGTAACCGGTAGCCATGATCTGATATCGGACATCATGTTACCCATGTATATAAACAGGAAATGAAATAGTGGTACATGAAGAGTCAAAGACTCTTGTTCAATGATTGAGACTATCATCAAAGATCTTTCAATTACCATACTTGACTAAATTTGGTCTAGTAACATGTTAACTAGGGTGATTTCTAATTCTAATAACAATCGTGGGTTCGAATCCTTATTGTGAATTTGTTTTCTTGAAAGAAAAAAAATGCAGCATAAAATGATATGACATGAAATGCATGTTCGTAATATATCACGCCATATCCTTATTGTGAAATGCATGTTTGTAATAGAATGATACATCATGAAATGCTAAATGACATTTTATGTATAATTTTTTTTTTTGTCAAATATGCATTTCATGGTGTTCACACAAATCTTGTACTTTTAGTTTTTTTGATTAATTCAATTGAAATATACTAATTTAAAGAATATAAATCAATTATTTTCTTTATAATATTAGGTAAGAACATATGTTTATTGATTAATATATTTTCAAACGATAATACGTATTTTACATATTTAATTTAGTATCATTTATAAAGTTCCTTATTTGTCTAATATAAATTTTAAATTTTTAACTTTAATTTTTAAAATTTAATATAATCTTATGATTACAATTGTGCAACCAAACAATACATTTGTAATTATACTACGACAAACACTACACCATTTTAGGCCTACGGCCACCCCAGTAAAGTGTAGCCTAAACTAGCAAAAAGTGTGGCCTTTGATAAAAGGCTACACTTTTGGACTTTAAGCAACACTTTTCCAGGGGTGCCCGAAAGCAGCGTTACCTTAGAGTTTAGGCAACACTTTTCAAGTGTTGCCTTATCAGCTACGCTTAAAAGCGTAGCCTAAAAGGCAAAATGGCAACGCTTTTATGTACCTCAAATAGCAACATTTCTATCTCATACAACTACACTTTTAAGTGTGGCCTTAGCTTCCTTATTGCCCATGATTTGTAAGTGTTGCCTTTTATATCTAATGTATGACAACAATTTTAAAGTGTTGCCTTTTCTATCTAATGTATGACAACACTTTTAAGTGTAGTCCTTGCCCATGTGCATACCACAATTTACAGTCCTATGGCTACACTTTTAAGTGTGGCCATATCATTTTGGCTATAAAATATTTATATGCCACAATTTCTAATTAAAAAACACCAATATTATTTTGCAATAAATAATCTCAAGCATTAAATTGGCTACTAAGTAATTCAAATATATAGATTTGCAATAAACTTCAAAAGATAGTACGTCTTGTACGTACTTACACATACCTATACAACAATATTCTAAATATGTGTACACAATTGTTCAAAAAGTACTCTTACAATAGTTCAATATATTCTAGCAAAGAATATATTTCACAAAATCAAACATAATGTATTCAAACTTTTACAATAGTTCAAAAACTCTTTATCAGCTACTTCAATGAGATCAAATTGACTTGTAGCGACCCTTCAAATTTGATCACCTCCATTTCCCTACACATTTAGAATTTACGACAAATCAGATTGCAACAATTATATACGAGGCAAAGAGTTCCACATATTCCACATTGCACAACAGTTCTGGATTTTAAATTTTTACGAAAAGATGTGGTCCAATTTGTGAAGCTGCACTATTTTTCCAACAACACCCTCATAATCACACAGTTAGAAGGAGCAGGCATATACTCAACATCAGCTACT